GAATTTTATTTCTGACTCCCTCATCATAACGCTACAAATTTTAAAATCATCCTTGTTGCTTGAAACAGGCAAATTCATCCAGCAAACTTTATTTTCATTTTTGTAATAGATTTCAAAACTTAAAATTCAATAGTTTTTTCAAAGCTGCTACAGACCTCGAATATAATTGGCGCGAATGGCGCGAATGAAGCAATTTATCCATTCATCACGCACAGCAATACCTGTGGATTTCACGCTCCTACAAAACAATATTACGACCTAGCAACTCTGCTTCTTGGGAGATAGAAAGACCACGACGTAGCTGGCGAGGATGATGACGACCTAGAAGACCACCGGTGACCATTGACCACCGTCTACCACTCTCCAATTCCTCCGATTTCACTGAAAATTTCGGCTCCACCACCAACAACGAACTGATTCGTGGGTCACTAGTATTGCTTCAAACATTGACATTTGCTTTACATTGGTTGAAATCTGGTTGGTCTATGATTTTGCTCATATTTTCTTTACATTGGTTGTAATCTTCTTGGTCCATAACAAGATTTTGGTATTTTTGTATTGATGCATTGTATGTGTTTGTTGAAAGTCCGCATAGAAAGAATATGTAGAATTTCTGAGGCCAAGATGCTCTGTGTTTGTGTTAGAATTTCTGAAGCAGAATCCAATAGTATATCCAAGGAACCATTGTCTCTATGACTATGAACCCCTCACCATTCTTCTTCTTGTTTGGTTCTAATCCCACGTAACTTGTTTGCTTCCATCTTGACAATTGCTAAATGAACCAAAGTCTATATAGAATTCTATGACCACATTTTTTGTCATTTTCTGAACATTAATTGAACAAAATCTGTTACCCATTATGAATTTTTTTTTTTGTTTACATGCGTATCCATTATGAATTTTGTTTTTTGAACAGAATATGTTATCCATTATTTTCTTTACATATGTGTTTTTTTGTTTTTTTTTTTTGTTTACATACGTATCCATTATGAATTTTGTTTTTTGAACAGAATGTGTTATTCATTATTTTCTTTACATATGTGTTTTTTTGTTTTTTTTTTTGTTTACATACGTATCCATTATGAATTTTGTTTTTTGAACAGAATGTGTTATTCATTATTTTCTTTACATATGTGTTTTTTTGTTTTTCTTATGAATAACACATTATGAATTTTTTTGTTTTTCTTATGGCATGGAAAATTCACAACCAATGGTATGTGAATTCTAGTTACTGATTCTCTTGCGTATCCATTTTATCTTTTATATATATATATGTGTGTGTGTATATGTATGTATGTGGTTTGGGTGAATATTTTTGGTTTAACTTGTTTGTGGAATAAGAAGCCTTGAGAATGGGTAACAGATTTTGTTACTGATTCAATTTTTTTTTTCTTTGTTTTGAAAAAACATTTTCAACCAAATATGTTTTTGGAATTTTTTTCTGAAAACATGTTTTGAGAGACAAACCAAACATGCCTATCGGAATGCATGGAATTAATTTATTGGGAACTATTAGAGTGAGATCATTCTGGAGCTTTTTCAAGGGTTTTCTTTTCAATTAGGTTGTTCCCCTCTCTATTGATGATACACTCATTCTTTTGCGCTGATATTATAAATTTATTTTATTTAATTGTTTGCTAAAAGGTTCTTTAGAGGCTACAAGTGCAGAAAAACTAAAAAGAAAGAGAAGAAAAAAGGATCTAGGAATCATTCCTAAAACTAGGCATAACACTTAGATTCCCAGAGGCATCACACCTAACGTTGAAGTTGCATCACAAAACTTGCATGAAAGGTTCAAAATCTTTATCAAATTATCTACAACTCAACTCTCTTCAATTGGAAATGTGACATGATTTTATTTTTTATAGAGTTCGGAAATCATTCACTTAATAGGATTTTAACGCCCTATTTGGAAACTAAGAGTTTTGACTTTTAAAACGTATCTAGATTTAAATAAGATTCATAAGTAAAACCCAATTATATATCATGACCCTTATGATGATCCAAGGCTACCCCTCCAGTATGTTCAGTAATCAAGCCAATTACCAAAATATCCGTTACTTACAAAACACTGGAAAATATGTAAAAACATATCAGTTTGTTTATAAGCTAAATAACAATAAAATAAGACATATCAGGTTGTTTTTTGAACAGAATGTGTTATTCATTAATCTCTGTTTCATTATGAATTTTCCATGCCAATTATTTGTTGTTTTCTTGCTCTATTTTGTTTCATTGTGAATTTTTCATGGATTATTGAAACCCTTCTCCAAGCTTAACATTATTGGTTTGTTATTCATTGTGAAGCTGTTATCCATTTTCTTATTGAGAGGCCCATTTTCTTCAAATAAGGGATGGAAGGTTCAAACAATCCTACTCAGGAAGGTGAAGAACCCGAGAGTGGTGAAGTTGAAGAACCAAAGCAGGGGATGTGTTTTACTTCAAAGCAAGAAGTGTATGCATTTTATGCAAAATATGCGAAGCACTTTGGATTTGCTATAGCTTATGGAACACAAAATTATGATAATGATGGGGAACTAAAATACTTTGGAATTGAATGTACTCGAGCAAGGATGAGAAGAAAAAGATCGGAAGTGAACCCGCTAGAACCATCTTTGTCATCTAAAAATGATTGCAAAGCAAAAGTAAGAGGGAGTCTACAAAAGGATGGAACATTTAAGTTGACAACCGTTGTGCTGGAGCATACTTACGACTTGGTTCCTAGTGACTCACGGCATTTTGCAATGAATAAGAGAATTCTAACTCCTGTGAAAAGAAGATTAGAAATAAATGATGAGGCAGGGATAGGAGTGGCTAGGAATTTTCATTCTATGGTTGTTGAAGCGGGGGGATTTGAGGCATTAACATTTGACGAACGAGATGCCAGGAATCACATTGACAAGGCTAGAAGATTGAGGCTTGGAGTAGGAGATGCCGAATCAGTTGCGTTTTATTTTCATAGGATGCAACAACAAAATTCGAACTTCTACTCTGAAATGGACTTTGATGGAGAAGGACGCTTGCGGAACTTATTTTGGGCAGATGCAAGGAGTAGGGCAGCTTATAAAGCATTTGGAGATATTGTCACATTTGACACAACCTATCTGACAAACAAATATGACATGCCGTTTGCTCCATTTGTAGGAGTTAATCACCATGGGCAGTTAATTTTGTTTGGTTGTGGGTTGTTATGTAATGAGAACACTGAGACATTTGTATGGCTATTCAGAGCTTGGTTAAGTTGCATGTCAGACACTCCTCCGAATGCTATAATAACTGACCAGTGCAAAGCTATGCAAAATGCCATACAAATTGTCTTCCCACAAGCTCGACATCGTTGGTGTTTATGGCATATACTGAAGAAAATTCCGGAAAAATTGAGAGCCTGTTCACAATATGAATCCATAAAGTTTGCTTTGCAAAAGGCAGTTTATGAGTCTTTCACAAAAAATGAATTTGATGAAGAATGGCAAGCAATGATTGCAAAGTTTGGTCTACATGATAACGATTGGTTGGGGGGATTATATGATGAGCGACATAGGTGGATTCCTGCCTATGTGAAAGACATGTTTTGGGCTGGTATGTCAACCACACAACGAAATGAGAGTATGAATGCATTTTTTGATGGATATGTCAACTCGAAAACTACTTTAAAGCAACTTGTTGAGCAGTATGACAATGCCTTACGAAGTAAGGTAGAGAAAGAGGCCAAAGCAGATTTTAAATCTCGAAACAAATTGTATGATTGCCTAACGATGTATGCTTTTGAGAAGCAATTTCGTGCAGCATACACAAACACAAAATTTAAAGAGGTTCAAGTAGAAATGAAACGATTATTTTATTGTCGTGCCACTCTTGTGGAAGAGAAAGGATCAATTTGTACTTATCATGTGAAATAGGCTATTCCAGTTGGTGAGCAAATGAAGAAAGTGGAATTTGTTGTGTACTGTAATTCCATTGAATGCGACATCCAATGCATGTGTCGGTGGTTTGAATTTAGGGGCATCATGTGTGCCCATTCACTTAGTGTGCTCCTTGAGAGGTCCACATATGAGGTTCCGGATAAGTACATTGTGCAGAGGTGGAGAAAAGATTTGGAAAGAGGGTACACATGCATTCCTACCACATACACTACATATGGGGTTGTTCTGAATGCAAAGGTACATGATAACTACCACAAGACAATGGATGAAATTATAGAAATTGCTTCCAACGATGATGCTAAGCACAAAGTCATTCAACTTGGGTTAATAGAAATCAAGGATAGAGTGAGACAGGTTGAGGCCGGTTGTGCGAGTAATTTGCCACCTTCTACTAGTGGTGTCCCACATTCTACTAGTACTGTCCAACCTTCTAATACTTCCCCCAAAACTCAGGCCGGTCGTAGTTCTACAAATGCAAGCATGACTCACAAGGTGCTTAGTCCTATGGTTGCTCGCCGAAGAGGTCGTCCATGTACAAAACGGAAAGTTAGCAAAGTGGATGAAATAGTAAATCGGTTGAAGGGGAAGAATAAAAGGGCATCAAAAGTACAGGTAAAATTTTTATTTTGTTTGATATGTAAATCTCAGAATTTTGTTTACTTCAATCACTCACCAATGTGTGTTCCTATAGGGTCGTAAGTTGAATTTTGCTTCTATGGATGGAATGCAAGCGAGTCCGTGTATTGATGGCACACAGGAGAGTATGTACGTACCGGTATGTTTTAAACATATGACATGAAATTTTTTTTCCTTATTTTCATTTGTAGATATATTTGTGAATTTCTTCATATTATTTACTTTGTCATTGAATAGGCACAAGGTAGCCCAATGCAAATGGTGGATAATATTGGAAGCGGATCTGTTAGTCATTCACGAATGGTCACCAATATAAGCAGTCAAAGTGGACCAATTGGTTCAAAATTTATTGAGTTGAATATAGATGTGGATCCAAATGCCCCTTTCTATTTCTAGTTTTTTAGTAGTTATTGTAAGACTTTGTTTTGTAAACTTTCAATCAAGTCTCATATAGTTTAAAGTGATTTTGGATCCAATCAAGTCTCATATGGAGCTGTTTTGTCAAGTTCTGTTACAGGTCTGAGCATAGTTTCCTGGTTGGTACTTTTCTACTTTGCTGAGCATCTGCTGCACTGCTATACTTTGATCCTCATCTGCTATGCTGCCTGCTGTTCTGCTGTGCTGCTATAGGCTTTGTTCTGCTGTGTTCTGTGCTGCTGCGGATCTGTTGTGCTGTGTTGCTATATGCTTTGTTCTGCTGTGTTATGTTGTGTTGCTGCTGCGGATCTGTTGTGCTGTGTTGCGTTGTGCTGTCTCATATTGTGCTGTGCTATGTTGTGTTTAGGTTCCCTATTGAACAGCTTGTCTTCTTGCTGGATAAATGTTTTTAGAACAATGAATTTTTTGGGGAAAGGTTGAATGTATAATCTCTTTTTAATGCATTTCCTATTTTTAGGTGCTGTGAATTTTTTAGAGCAGTGAATTTTTTAGTATGAATGCATTTCCTCTTTATTGGTTACTTGCTCTTGCCTTTGCATGTTTGGCTGTTATTCTGGGTTTTTGGGTTGAGAATGATGCAAATTTTTTGGACCATTCTGCATGTCTTGAGCCAATTGGTGATTGTTGTCCAGCATTCTTTAAGGGTACAAGTTCTTGGCATCTCTCTTTCTATCTCTGTAAATTCACAGAACTTGATCCACATAGCCCACCCAGGAGCACTGAGATTAGATTAGAAAATAATAATGAAATGAAGGTGGCATTACCTATGATTTTTAGATTGTATTAGAACAAAATCCAAAACAAATTCAAAACTCCTACCATCTGCCTCTTCTACATATCACTCAAATATGATTCATGATAATAATAACAGATGATTGAAGTTAGATGTGATGATCATTGATCAGAGGCACAATAATAAATAAATTAAATATCACACCATAATATATAAATTAAATCCTTCACATATTAAATTGGTTTTTCAGAATCTTTTTGTTTACACCATTTTTTCCTTTCTTTATTTCAGAATTTCAGTTAAAAAATAAGACAAGGCGGCCTCTAAGCTACTTCCTTGAGCATATAACCCAAAAGGAGAAGAACACAAAACCGGCACTAAATTCACAGAACTTGATCTACATAGCCCACCTAGGAGCACTGAGATTAGCTTAGAAAATAATAATGAAATGAAGGTGGCATTACCTATGATTTTTAGATTGTATTAGAACAAAATCCAAAACAACTTCAAAACTCCTACCATCTGCCTCTTCTACATATCACTCAAATATGATTCATGATAATAATAACAGATGATTGAAGTTAGATGTGATGATCATTGATCAGAGGCACAATAATAAATAAATTAAATATCACACCATAATATATAAATTAAATCCTTCACATATTAAATTGGTTTTTCAGAATCTTTTTGTTTACACCATTTTTTCCTTTCTTTATTTCAGAATTTCAGTTAAAAAATAAGACAAGGCGGCCTCTAAGCTACTTCCTTGAGCATATAACCCAAAAGGAGAAGAACACAAAACCGGCACAATAACATTTAGTTAGATGTGATGATCATTGATTAGAGGCACAATAATATATAAATTAAATATCACACCATAATATATAAATTAAATCCTTCACATATTAAATTGGTTTTTCAGAATCTTTTTGTTTACACCATTTTTTCCTTTCTTTATTTCAGAATTTCAGTTAAAAAATAAGACAAGGCGGCCTCTAAGCTACTTCCTTGAGCATATAACCCAAAAGGAGAAGAACACAAAACCAGCACAATAACATTTACAACCAAACAAAAACTCCATTGTTGCTTTGCCATAGAAGGTTCAATTCCTTACAAAACCAGCATAATAACTTGTACACCCAAATGTATAAGTTTACGACATTCATTTTAACATTAAACAAATTACAAGCATTAGCATGTTAAAACCAGTACACACTATGCTTGCCATTGTAAGGAATTTCATAGTTCCTACATTTGCCTCAAGCTGCTCCAATCTTCGCTCCAATCTTCGCTCCAATTTGTCCAAAGCTTCATAGTTTCTTTCAGCATCATTCTTCCAGTCATCTTCATTGTTCCTCTAACTAGGATTAGGCCTCCATTGGATATCCGCTGCATTGCCATGTTGGCTAGTAGGCGCCCACCATGCAAAGAAATCGCATTTGCCATCTGTACACTTGAAATAAAGCCTCCCTGGATTTTTCACTGAGTTCGATATCTTAACGGCTGTTTTTTTCTCACATTTGCAACGTCGATTTTCAAAAAGGCGACCATCATTGCTTGAACTAGTCGAGGTGTAAGCCATTGACATGTTACTCCTAACAGTAGCATTTTCATAAATAAGTAGTACATTAGTCATCAAAAACAAAAACAAAAACAACAATAATAATGTGAAATGGCCCATGGAAGCACAAAACATTTCATTAAGGCATTTTATCATACACTTTCAATTCTCACACATGCCTTCAATTCATCATTTCAATAGGTTGATATTTCTTCAAAAAACACAACACATTTCAGCATGTTGATGCATTACTAACAAGTTTACATTTTTTTTTACATACTGAATTTTATCATTCATTTTCTTACATGAATGAGAGGTCCATTACTAACAAGTCTACTGGACCTCTTTGTAGACAACTCCACTGTTAACAAGTCCAAAACAAGAAGTAATGGGCATGGAAAGAAAATCCATGTACCAAAATTCATTTTCTTGCTCTATTTTGTTTCATTGTGAATTTTCCATGGATTATTGAAACCTTCTCCAAGCTTAACATTATTGGTTTGTTATTCATTGTGAAGCTGTTATCCATTTTCTTCAAATAACGGATGGAAGGTTCAAACAATCCTAGTCATGAAGTTGAAGAACCCGAGAGTGGTGAAGTTAAAGAACCAAAGCAGGGGATGTGTTTTACTTCAAAGCAAGAAGTGTATGCATTTTATGCAAAATATGCGAAGCACTTTGGATTTGCTATAGCTTATGGAACACAAAATTATGATAATGATGGGGAACTAAAATACTTTGGAATTGAATGTACTCGAGCAAGGATGAGAAGAAAAAGATCGGAAGTGAACCCGCTAGAACCATCTTTGTCATCTAAAAATGATTGTAAAGCAAAAGTAAGAGGGAGTCTACAAAAGGATGGAACATTTAAGTTGACAACCGTTGTGCTGGAGCATACTCACGACTTGGTTCCTAGTGACTCACGGCATTTTGCAATGAATAAGAGAATTCTAACTCCTGTGAAAAGAAGATTAGAAATAAATGATGAGGCAGGGATAGGAGTGGCTAGGAATTTTCATTCTATGGTTGTTGAAGCGGGGGGATTTGAGGCATTAACATTTGACGAACGAGATGCCAGGAATCACATTGACAAGGCTAGAAGATTGAGGCTTGGAGTAGGAGATGCCGAATCAGTTGCGTTTTATTTTCATAGGATGCAACAACAAAATTCGAACTTCTACTCTGAAATGGACTTTGATGGAGAAGGACGCTTGCGGAACTTATTTTGGGCAGATGCAAGGAGTAGGGCAGCTTATAAAGCATTTGGAGATGTTGTCACATTTGACACAACCTATCTGACAAACAAATATGACATGCCGTTTGCTCCATTTGTAGGAGTTAATCACCATGGGCAGTCAATTTTGTTTGGTTGTGGGTTGTTATGTAATGAGAACACTGAGACATTTGTATGGCTATTCAGAGCTTGGTTAAGTTGCATGTCAGACACTCCTCCGAATGCTATAATAACTGACCAGTGCAAAGCTATGCAAATGCCATACAAATTGTCTTCCCACAGGCTCGACATCGTTGGTGTTTATGGCATATACTGAAGAAAATTCCGAAAAAATTGAGAGCCTGTTCACAATATGAATCCATAAAGTTTGCTTTGCAAAAGGCAGTTTATGAGTCTTTCACAAAAAATGAATTTGATGAAGAATGGCAAGCAATGATTGCAAAGTTTGGTCTACATGATAACGATTGGTTGGGGGGATTGTATGATGAGCGACATAGGTGGATTCCTGCCTATGTGAAAGACATGTTTTGGGCTGGTATGTCAACCACACAACGAAGTGAGAGTATGAATGCATTTTTTGATGGATATGTCAACTCGAAAACTACTTTAAAGCAATTTGTTGAGCAGTATGACAATGCCTTACGAAGTAAGGTGGAGAAGAGACCAAAGCAGATTTTAAATCTCGAAACAAATTGTATGATTGCCTAACGATGTATGCTTTTGAGAAGCAATTTCGTGCAGCATACACAAACACAAAATTTAAAGAGGTTCAAGTAGAAATGAAACGATTATTGTATTGTCGTGCCACTCTTGTGGAAGAGAAAGGATCAATTTGTACTTATCATGTGAAATAGGCTATTCCAGTTGGTGAGCAAATAAAGAAAGTGGAATTTGATGTGTACTGTAATTCCATTGAATGCGACATCCAATGCATGTGTCGGTGGTTTGAATTTAGGGGCATCATGTATGCCCATTCACTTAGTGTGCTCCTTGAGAGGTCCACATATGAGGTTTCGGATAAGTACATTGTGCAGAGGTGGAGAAAAGATTTGGAAAGAGGGTACACATGCATTCCTACTACATACACTACATATGGGGTTGTTCTGAATGCAAAGGTACATGATAACTACCACAAGACAATGGATGAAATTATAGAAATTGCTTCCAACGATGATGCTAAGCACAAAGTCATTCAACTTGGGTTAATAGAAATCAAGGATAGAGTGAGACAGGTTGAGGCCGGTTGTGCGAGTAATTTGCCACCTTCTACTAGTAGTGTCCCACATTCTACTAGTACTGTCCAACCTTCTAATACTTCCCCCAAAACTCAGGCCGGTCATAGTTCTACAAGTGCAAGCATGACTCACAAGGTGCTTAGTCCTATGGTTGCTCGCCGAAAAGGTCGTCCATGTACAAAACGGAAAGTTAGCAAAGTGGATGAAATAGTAAATCGGTTGAAGGGGAAGAATAAAAGGGCATCAAAAGTACAGGTAAAATTTTTATTTTGTTTGATATGTAAATCTCAGAATTTTGTTTACTTCAATCACTCACCAATGTGTGTTCCTATAGGGTCGTAAGTTGAATTTTGCTTCTATGGATGGAATGCAAGCGAGTCCGTGTATTGATGGCACACAGGAGAGTATGTACGTACCGGTATGTTTTAAACATATGACATGAAATTTTTTTTCCTTATTTTCATTTGTAGATATATTTGTGAATTTCTTCATATTATTTACTTTGTCATTGAATAGGCACAAGGTAGCCCAATGCAAATGGTGGATAATATTGGAAGCGAATCTGTTAGTCATTCACGAATGCTCACCAATATAAGCAGTCAAAGTGAATAGGCACAAGGTAGCCCAATGCAAATGGTGGATAATATTGGAAGCGGATCTGTTAGTCGTTCACGAATGGTCACCAATATAAGCAGTCAAAGTGGACCAATTGGTTCAAAATTTATTGAGTTGAATATAGATGTGGATCCAAATGCCCCTTTCTATTTCTAGTTTTTTAGTAGTTATTGTAAGACTTTGTTTTGTAAACGTTCAATCAAGTCTCATATAGTTTAAAGTGATTTTGGATCCAATCAAGTCTCATATGGGGCTGTTTTGTCAAGTTCTGTTACAGGTCTGAGCATAGCTTCCTGGTTGGTACTTTTCTACTTTGCTGAGCATCTGCTGCACTGCTATACTTTGATCCTCATCTGCTATGCTGCCTGTTGTTCTGCTGTGCTGCTATAGGCTTTGTTCTGCTGTGTTCTGTGCTGCTGCGGATCTGTTGTGCTGTGTTGCTATATGCTTTGTTCTGCTGTGTTATGTTGTGTTGCTGCTGCGGATCTGTTGTGCTGTGTTGCGTTGTGCTGTCTCATATTGTGCTGTGCTATGTTGTGTTTAGGTTCCCTATTGAACAGCTTGTTTTCTTGCTGGATAAATGTTTTTAGAACAATGAATTTTTTGGGGAAAGGTTGAATGCATAATCTCTTTTTAATGCATTTCCTATTTTTAGGTGCTGTGAATTTCAATGAATTTTTTGGGGAAAGGTTGAATGCATAATCTCTTTTTAATGCATTTCCTGTTTTTAGGTGCTGTGAATTTTTTAGAGCTGTGAATTTTTTAGAGCAGTGAATTTTTTAGTATGAATGCATTTCCTCTTTATTGGTTACTTGCTCTTGGCCTGTGCATGTTTGGCTGTTATTCTGGGTTTTTGGCTTGAGAATGATGCAAATTTTTTGGACCATTCTGCATGTCTTGAGCCAATTGGTGAGTGTCATTGTGGTCCAAGAATCCAATACAAGTTGAATGAGTATTATTTGATGTTTGAATGTTAAATACATAATTGGTGCATCATGTATGGAGATTGGAAGAATGATTGTTTAATGTTAACAAACATAATTGAGCATTGTCAAAATTGTGTATGTGACTAACCTTATTCAGAGTTACTACATCATGTAGATTGTTTGATATAGGAGGCAAACTTAGAAACAAAGCAGATTGTTGTCCACCATTCTTTAAGGGTACAAGTTCATGTTATAATAATTTTGCACCCAAATAATAATTTTGGCCACTTAAAATTTTAAAATTTTAGTTCATGTTATATTTATATCTTAATGTAAATTTATTAATAAGAACAATACACATTAAACCTTAAAATAATTTTTTTTTTTTTTTTGTCTCTTGAGACATCTTCTTTTTTTCATTTTCTTTCTTACTACAAAACTCCAATCCACTCCATCAAAACTGACATTATTTTTTATTGTGTTGTTACTTGTAAATAAAAAAATCAACAAAATCAAACAATAAATAAAAATAATAATCAAAAATATTTTTGTGAAACAATCCAAAAGGTCGAAACACATTTTTAAGTTAAACTGGTTGCTCCGCAGATAATGCCGTGACTACCCTTTCATTGTTTTATAATTTTTAATGAATAGCCTTTATTGATACAAACAAATACAACCAACCATTTCCAACTTTTACACACATGGGGTTTATTACATCACAAATTCACACACCAACCATACTATTCTTCCTCTATATATACTATTTACCTAATAAAATGATGATAATGATTGATGAATATATACTAGTATATATACCAAGAAACTTGCTACTTCCAATAGGATGCATCCATTATATCAAATGTAGTACTCGGAACCCCACCTCAAGCCAGTGGGAATCTGACCCACATCTTCAAGGGACAGCCACTACTACAATGACTCTGCCCCAACACCCAACCCCACCTCTCTAATGATTCACACCCACTTCAGCCTCTTTGATTGAAAAGCTTCTCCATCTTGTCTCTCCTCCTCACTCTATGTTTGTCACGGAAAAGGGTTTGTTAGCAACAATTTGATAATCGTCTCCATTGTCATCGTCGTCGTCGTCATCACCGCCGTTATCTTCTTGATTTTGATCAGTGTTTTCACTTTCACCATCTTCTGTTAATGATTCTGGCCTTTGTTGTTGTTGTTGCTGCTGCTGCTGCGGTGGTGGCTGTTGTTGTTGCTGGCCCATCATTAGCATCAAAATGTCCTCAGGTTTTGAGTAACAACCAGAATTATCTGAATTATCAACCTTCTTGGACTTCCTTTCATAGATAAACTCGAGCATTTCGAAGTATGGACATGTCTTTGAATCTTCAGGCCTTTTCTTGTTACTATCTTTTACCCTCTTGAAGTACTTGTTTATATTCTCCCACTTCTCTTTACATCTCTTTGCGTTCCGATTGTAACCAATCTTCTTCATTGACAATGAAACCTCCTCCCATAGAGGGCCCTTAGGTCCATTGTCTTGATATTCCAAGTCAAGATTAGTCCTAAGCCTGATCAAAGCTTCAACTTCTGCTTTAGGCCACCGCGAAGAGCTAATAACCTGCGTAGAATTCTCCGTAATAATATCATTCCCTTGTTTCTCATTAACTTTCTCAGGTTGATTTTTCTGCTTTAGTCTCATTTTATCATTCATTTTCTTCAATTCATCATTTCAATAGGTTGATTTTTCTTCCAAAAACACAACACATTTCAGCATGTTGATGCATTACTAACAAGTTTACATTTTTTTTTACATACTGAATTTTATCATTCATTTTCTTACATGAATGAGAGGTCCATTTTCTTACATGAATGAGAGGTCCATTTTCTTACATGAATGAGAGGTCCATTTTCTTACATGAATGAGAGGTCCATTTTCTTACATGAATGAGAGGTCCATTTTCTTACATGAATGAGAGGTCCATTTTCTTACATGAATGAGAGGTCCATTTTCTTACATGAATGAGAGGTCCATTTTCTTACATGAATGAGAGGTCCATTTTCTTACATGAATGAGAGGTCCATTTTCTTACATGAATGAGAGGTCCATTTTCTTACATGAATGAGAGGTCCATTTTCTTACATGAATGAGAGGTCCATTTTCTTACATGAATGAGAGGTCCATTTTCTTACATGAATGAGAGGTCCATTTTCTTACATGAATGAGAGGTCCATTTTCTTACATGAATGAGAGGTCCATTTTCTTACATGAATGAGAGGTCCATTTTCTTACATGAATGAGAGGTCCATTTTCTTACATGAATGAGAGGTCCATTTTCTTACATGAATGAGAGGTCCATTTTCTTACATGAATGAGAGGTCCATTTTCTTACATGAATGAGAGGTCCATTTTCTTACATGAATGAGAGGTCCATTACTAACAAGTCTACTGGACCTCTTTGTAGACAACTCCACTGTTAACAAGTCCAGAACAAGAAGTAATGGGCATGGAAAGAAAATCCATGTACCAAAATTCACAATGAAACAAAGTTTGGAAGAAAACAGAGCAAGAAAATTCATGTACCAAAATTCATGTACCAAGAACTCTACTGTTAAGCTTGGAAGAAAACAGAGCAAGAAATTTTTTTTGAAAAATATGTTCTGAGCAAGAAAATCCTACCAAAAATGCAAATTTTTTTGAAAAATCACAACTACGTCGCTGGAAAAGGATTAATAAAAATAAAAAATCAAAAAATCTGACCTTTTCTTGCTTGTCAATGGAGGAGATTTGGGGATCTAGGGCTTAGGAACGGAGAAGATTTGGGTATCTACGACTTGGGTAAACAAAGTTTCGTCGTCGAAAAACGCCTACAGACCTCCACCGCCGACTGATGGGTTGGCTAAATTCAGGTCCGAATCAGTTTATGGGTTTCAATAGAGAGAGATGGAAGCTTCATTTTTGGGTTTGAGGCTTGTTAATGGGTTGGTGGGGTTGAATACCGTAAAGTAGAAGAGAGGGAGCGTGAATCACACGCGTCGAGGCATTCGCGCCTCACTTTGTCGAGGCACCAATCTTTTTCCTAGTTTTTTACCTAGATCTCCGTTTTGCATAAAATTTGTACTTTTAGCATTCTCTCAAGATCTATCAAACAAAATGGGGTTGAATACCGTAAAGTAGAAGAGAGGGAGCGTGAATCACACGCGTCGAGGCATTCGCGCCTCACTTTGTCGAGGCACGAATCTTTTTCCTTCAAAAAATGATCCCATTAACAGTATGTTGCAATCAATCATACAAAGTCAAATCATACTATTCATTCCTAAACAAATAACATCTAAATTATCAAAATGAAGATGAACGAAAACCATATTTGAATCAATTATATTTCCCAAAAACCATAAATAGGATCGAATCTGTCTTAAGATTGTTAGAAAAATAGTACTAAACTATATGAAAAATATAATTTAAAAATATGTAAATGATTTTTTTTGGCAAAACCAAAATTGAAATAAATTGACATAAAACGTAACAAAACTTACAACACATAAATCGATAAAACCTGATCGAGTCAAGTGTGTGACACTCTCTCCTTAAGACAGATTCGTCCTCCCACCGGTGCTTAGGATTTAATGGACGTCTATCTCCCAAGATACAACGATCAATGTCTTGCACTAGCAGCACTACTATTGCAAGCCTAGCGAACTTTGCTGTGCATGAACTCTCTTTATAGGAAAATTAGACTCAGGCAATATGAAGAATAAATGCAAAGTGAAGAAGAATGGCAATTCCCCATCATTCAGAACAGTGATATGATATGATATGTTTGGACCTGAGGTCGTTCAAAAAATGTGATATGAATTCGAATGTTTTTACATCGCTATATGACTCATGTTTACGAAATGTTATTTTATATGAATGAATGAATGAATGTCCTATTTTGAAATGTGATTTTGACCCTTTGTATAAGTGGGCATACCATGTACCATGTAAAATGTTTTGTAATGGTTTTAGATATGTAATCCATTTGAAAAAGCATGGATTTTGATACGATAAATGTTTGTTTTAAAATGATTTAAGATACATTTCAGAATTGTGAAATATGTTTTCCAAATGTTGAGGACATTATTCATTAACCTCTTTACTTTATTATTACTTACTGGGCATTAGCTCACCCTTTTACTTTTTATATATATATATATATGTAGGTGAGCCGTCGAAGGATCAAAATTAGAGTTTGTACCGAAGTCCCTCTCTCTGTCAAGCCACCCTGGAAGTGTCTCCGTTTAGAGACGTAGTATAATTTCCCAAGCATAGTTTTGTTTAAAGGCTACTGTATAGTGTGTGAGATTTGTATATGTAAAAGAAAAGGGAGAGAAGAAGAATAAATCAAATTAGAAGCTTGGAGATTGGAGGAATTTGAGAGAATAACCCAAAGATTGGCTTAAGGTAAGTGTAAACCCTTCTGTAATTGGTTGGAATCAAGTCTTGACATGAAGCTTTAGTACTCATGAAAGTTAGGGTTTTGGTTTATGATATAAACTTAACAAATCTCATGAAATGAGCATGTAATCTTTGGGTTTGTTTAGTCAAAAGGTTGATTCTTGTGTTTTGAACTTGTGTTGGGTTGGATTGTAAGGAATTGTTTCCTAAATTGTCTCTTTGCATGCTTTGAGTTCATGTATATATATATATATATAAAATGAAGAAAATGGAAGTTAGAAAGTTGTATGTTAAAGTTGTGCTCTAATCTAGCTTGAGTTTCATGTTATCATGTTTAGATGTCATGTTTTTGAGATGGAATTGCTTGAATTGAGCCTTAATCTTGACGTTTGGCATGGTTAATTATATGAAATGAAGATCTATGTGAATATGGAAGAAGAAGTTTTGAAAAAGTTTGAAAAAGAACTAAATAAGGAGATTGATCTTCCTTACTTAAAGATTCATATATTTGTGATGTTTTGATTTAGAAAACCATCATAACCTCATTATTTCCTTTAGTTTTACATGATTTTGGGTGATTTGAGTTGAAACCTAGCTTGGAAAATGGAAGAACAAGTGCTAAAGCCAACACATATTTTCGGCAGCAGATTTTGCCTAGAGCCGCACGTGCGGCGAGGTTTCCCGTACGTGCGGTAGTCCATTTCCAGCACCCAATTTGATTTTGCTAAAAAAGTACGTTGTCCCACACGTGCGGCCCAATCCTCGCACATGCGGCCTGTTTCCCGCAGGTGCGGAGCACCCCTGTTTCAGCCCAACTTCAAATAAGCATATCTCCCTCATTCAGGTTCCGTTTTAAGTGATTCTTGAGCCTAAATCCAAGCCCCGGAAGTCTATTTTCTAATGGTGGTAGTATCACACCCAAATTCTGAGTACACAAAGAGATATGTTAAAATTAGTGAAGGTTGTTCACTTTCTGCCTACTCGTTTCATGCCATTTCTTCTCCTAACCCAATTTTCTTCCGTTTCTTCCCATTTTCCTTGATATGAATTATGACCCATTGAGGAATAATGAGTTTAGAACGAGCATAAATAATTGGTTAAGGCAAAGTAAGGGTTCGGTTTATTTGATTAATCAAAGATTAAGAAAAGTAACTTTGATCAAAAGAGTAATTCTATGTTCAATATATTTTGCTATGTATCTGTAGGTAAAGACAAGGACATCACCCAACTGCTACCAGAAGCCCATCAATGTGAGTAATAATATTGTAAAGATATGCTCATTTATATTTATTTTAATGTGTAAATGCTGCAATATTCTGGAATTATGTTTTATGCAAATGAATGAGTTACAAGACCTATGATATGGAATATGGATATGAAATGTGAATTATTTATAATATGATATGGTGGGCCCGAGACCGTTTTGATATATGATTGGGCCCGAGGCCATTTTGATATTCGATTGGGCCCGAGGCCGTTTTGATAAATGTGGGCCCGAGGCCGTTTGGTTATATGGTGGGCCTAAGGCCGTTTTGTAAATATGATTATGAATAATGTTGTGAATGATGTAAATGAAGAGTATTATGTTATGCTTCTTTTGAATCTAGATTATTTACTTGATTCACTTCACTTTATTATTACTCATTGAGCTTCGCTCATTCCGTATTTTATCTATATGTAGGTGATCAATCCGGAGACCATCCTTAGGTCAGCCTTAGGAGTTTCTTTTGTGAACCTGCTAAGTCAAGCCACCCAAGATGCACCTCCGTGTTGAGGCTTTAACCTTACATTGTTAGAATTTTGTATTTACTTAAGTTTTATGTATATGTGTGATATATATGTTTGTGTGTGTATATGTATATTAGTGTGTTTACATTGTTTTAATTATTTCAGTTATCATGCATGCACAAGCTCAATGGACATTGTCATTAATTTTGCTACCGCTTTAGGCCCCAGTATGATTTGAACATTATGAAATATTTGTTTTGGAGGCTTGAGTATAGATCGTTCATGACCAAAACTTTTAGGGGCAGGTTCGGGTCGTGACAAAACAACTCAAAGTTCTCCAAAGGAATAATAAATATCTATATTCTTGTGTAACTACATACTGAATAAATAAATAAATAAGAGCAATTAAGATTATGGTCATTCTCCATAAACACTTTTTAAATGTACATATTATATGTAAATCATGACATTTTGTGGTCTTGATAATCTAAAGTGTCATAACCAAATTACTTTTGGTCATACTTAAAGGGGCCACACTAAATCATAATTAAATACGACTTGAGGCATAACTAAATACCTCCATAGTTATAACCAAAATAGCAATCATAATAGGATATAACAAAGTCATAACAAAGACTAGAGGTGTGCGCGGTGCGGTTCGAACGGTTTGAAAATAAAATTATAAGCCGAATGATGGTTTTGCGGATTGCCAAATCGCGATTTGGGTAATTTTAGACGGATTAGCGGATTGAAGAATATTTTAACCAATTGTTAAGCATTTGCATAATATGTAACACTAATTTACATAATATTTTTTTATACATATAACACAAACTAATTTTACATAATATTTTCATATATATAACTACTAATTTGTAACAAATTTCACATCTTAAATCTCTCTCACACTCATTTTTACTTTGATATTTCATTAGATGTTAAAAAATATAGATGTATTAACTATAGCGAAGCAAAGCGGTTTCGAAGGTGCATTATAATTTTTAAAGTTTAAACTATAGTTAACAGATAGATCGGTACAATTTTAGTAGATTAGCCAGTATTTTACACAGCCTTGGGTGTAAGTCCTTTGAGATAAGGTAGATTATAAATTTTAAAATTTAAACTGCGATTAACGGATAATGCGGTATAAATCGGTGCCGTTTTAATAGATTAAGCGATATTTTATACAATTCTAAATGTAAAACCTTTGAAATATCTAAACTTTCTGAACGAAGAGCAGCATTTTTCAACCCAAATGGCATCACACGGTAATGGTAGGTCTCCCAGTCGGTGATGAAGGAGGTGTGTTCCTAGTCAGACGGGTGCATCAGAATTTGGTTGTATCCAGAGAAGGCATCCATGAAGCTGAGCATTTGAT